AACATAAATGGGTCTTCGTAAATGGATTTTTGGAGGAAGAATGGGTTTTTAATATAATTGTTATTTGAACCAAACCATGAATCATATCCACAAGTGAACCACTTGAAACTATTTTGACACTCCTTACTTGATTCAACAAAGCCTCCTCAAAACCAAATTTCAACATTTTGAACTCTTCCCTAAAATCATACCAGAAATGTATCGAAATCCTGAATCAATTTCATGAGAAGTGACGGCACATACTGATTCCACCTTTGAAATGGTGTTGAGTTGAATAGGAAGCTAGAATTTTGAATGAATGCCATGAATTGATGGCTCTTATAGCATAACCTCATGAGATAAACTTGAGTTTTGCACCAAGCCCTAATCTTGATCTTCAAACATAAGTATTTGAATTTAATCCTCACTTGCCCTTGAGACAAACTGCCTTTGCTACAACTCGATACTTTGTTCCTGAAACAAAACACCTTGAGCTTGCTAGCCCCAAATGAAACTTAACTGAACTGCACTTGCTCACAAAGGCTGAGAAACCCTAATCTTCATTTCGAGTGCACACTGACGCAACAATGACTTGCTGAGGGCCAAATCCCTGATTCAAAGTCTTTTCCACAACCTGATAACTTGACATGGTGACTTTTCCTGATCCTTGATTCAATCTTGTAAGATCTGAGTTAAAGCAGCAAGAAAACGAGAAGCAGAAAGACACACATATGATGAAAATGCTATGATATGTACAGTTGGCAATTCAGGGTCAAAATTAGGGTGTAACAACGGGTAGTTGGGCCTCCTTGATGGCCCTACATAGTGGCGAACATTGGACGTCTTCGTCACTCTGACGGGCGACAGTGAAGGAAAGACTGATCCCTAGTTGTTTCTGTTCCGTCGGGGAGGACTCTTCGGTCGGGCTCTTGGTTTGGAGGCACCCCCTTGGGCTTCGTTCTTCTTTAGAATTGGGGAGCATCGTTTCTTTTGGGGAGACGACCTGCCCGCTTCTGGGAAGCCAACGACTGTGGTCGCTCCAAACAAGGGCGACACCCAGTCGGTCGAGAAGAGGGGCTCTGAGAGTTGTAATTGGCCGTGTCCCCCGCAGGGGAGGAGATGGGCTGTTGGAATTTGGGTGACGATGTCTCAGCGGAGGAGAGCGTGATGGTCGTTCCCTCTCGAGCATCCATATTCGTTCGTTTTGCCCGAAGATCATCAGGTTGATCTAGTTGATCGCCGCGAACAGGTCCACCATGGTAGGGTCGACGCCTGCTCTGGTACCGGGATGGGCTGGTAGACAATAGGGTTGTCAAAGCGCTGAGCGGCATTGAAGGTCGCGTCTTCCGATGAGGGAGAGGCGGTGCGCCCGTCCCTGTAGTCGCCTTCTTCATTGCGGACAATCACGTTAGGGTCGTGGCCGTCTTTATTGATGAAGGGGATGAAGGCAGTTTCAAGAGCATTATCGTCGCGTGGGCTGATCATGATTAGAATGGAAGTTGAAGGTTGCTTTGGTTCTTGAGCTTCTATGCTTGGACAGAAGAAATAACGGGGAAGCAAAAAGTTCCCACAGACGGCGCCACTAATCGTACCTGATCAGAATGGAATCAGTAGTCTGCCACACGTCGTGAGTTGCTGCCTTCACCGGTGCTTAAGTGAGTGACGGAACTAGAGAGAGCAAGTACATATAAAATGTGTAGTGAATAGAGTATATGACCCTCTAGTGAAAGAGGGTATTTATAATGTGCCCGCAGCGCAGGGCCAACAATTACATTGCATTGGGTCAGATTGTCAAGTTCAACACAAGTAACTGCCAAGGCTTACGTGGCGTAGTGAAGACTAGCACATGATCTTCACCCTGGATCAACTGTCCCGTGACTTTCGGAAGGTGGAATGATCATCTCTTTCGGAAGTAGGTAGTTGCCTGATTACGTGTCCCCGCGTGGGGGACACGTAGAAAACGTGGGGGGAAGCGCGTGGGCTCTCCTCGCGCCAAGTACTGGTTTGCCCGACTGAGGGGCCTTGCTGAGCGGCGTGCCCAACATGGGAGGATTAGGTCTTGTTGGGCCTCCCCAAAGTAGTGTTGGGCCTGCCCGACTGAGGGGCAAGTCTCGGCGCAGTTTAGAACTAACAAATGAATATTTAAATATCAATTTATTTTATCCGTGAATATCCATTAAATTATCTGCCTTATATCCGTGATAGATTTTATCCGCGGATATCCGCGAGTACGAATTTTTTTCCATCCCTAATCATATCTATAGTTAGACATGGCAATATAACCCATACCCGCGGGTACCCGCCCCGAATTTGACGGGGAAAATCCGCTTGACTGGGTTTGGGTTTTCCCCGATTTTAAAATATGGGGACGAGGCGGGTAATGGGGACTGTAGTACCCACCCCGAACCCGCCCCATTTATTATTATTATTATTTAAAAAAATCATAATATTTTTTATAAAATCATACATTATATTTTTAACTCTTCCACTTCTCGTTGATTAGTTGCTGATTATCAATTAGACATATACAATGGTTAATTTAAAAATTGAAGTTGAACCATTGCAGAACATACATTTACGGTTGGCTATATTAATTAAAATTAATAGACTTTTATTAAAAAAACAAAAGTTAATAGACTTTTAACATTCTAAAAACAAACTTTAATGGTTCAGTAATGCCTTTTCCAATATTTATTAAGATTGAGACAGGTGTTGGGTTTGGAGCAAAATTTGGATTCTGGGCAAAATTTGGGTTTGAGGCAGGATCTGGGTTTGGGGGCGGGGCGGGAATCCCGAACCCATTTGGGACGGGGTTGAGGTTCAATTATTCATCCCCGCTGGGATTCAGGGCGGGGAACAGAGATTTATTTGCGATTCGAGTTTGGGTTTGGGGAATACAAAAACCGTCCCCGCCCCGCCCCGTTGCCATCCCTATCTATAGTCATGCAATCATATGTGTTTGATAAGATTGGACAACTGTGATTCAAGCATGATATTCTTTGAATCTACTATTTATATATATACAAATTCAATTATATGAACTCCCTAAATTACCCTTTCATCACAAATTATTTATACTACCAAAAGGACATTTTAGTAATAAACTAATATTTACTTTTTTTTTCATTCTCATCTACTACTACAACATGACAAGTGACACTCATTTTCTCTTTTCATTTAAATTTCAAATTTTTCTCACATTTCTTTTTCCCACACTTTTTCCCTTTCATTTTAATTTTTTTCTATCTATTTATTATCACTAAAAATATTATTAATCAATTTTTTTAATTTTAATAAAATTAAAAATTTATTTATCTCACGGGTCACTTTCAACACATCTATTTTATTTTAATCAACAATTATTTTTTTTTTCTTCTTTTGATACAATTAAATTTATATGATTATTGATTATTTTACAATTAAGTAAATCATTTTAAATTTTGCATTTGTATCTAAATATATTTTATATCATATCAATTTTTTTTATTCCACAAGTTATTATCACTACAATTTCTATTTTATTTTTATCAACAATTTTTCTTGATTTGAAAGACAAAATCTTTATTTCAAAATAACTTTCTTCATCTCACGAGTCATTTTTTCCTTTTTGCATAATTATTTGATACAATTGAGTTTATATAAATATTTTTCATTTTAAAATTAAGTAACAAATTTCAAATTTACATATTCATATAAATACATTTACATTGTATCAAATAAACATTTTATTTCACGGATCACTATTACGACAATACATATTTTATATTAATCAATAATGACCTGAATTTGAAAGATAAAATTCTTAAATATTAAATATTTTTTTTATCTCACAAATTTTTTTTTATATATTTTAATACAATTGAATTTATATAATCATTGCTAATTTCAAATTTAAATATTTATATAAATACATTTTTATATTTTTATATTGTATTAAAATTATATATAAGTTTGAATTATCTTACTAGTTATTAAGTAAAAATCAAATCTACCTTTTTTTTTTTTAGATTGTTCGATTAAGATTGGCCAAAAACACTTCGTCGCGAATTATATGAAAAGCCCGACTGCAAGGAATCAGTTTCGAAAATTGACTGACCCTATTGTCGATCTCTCACCGGAGCTCTCCATTTCCTCTGCACTCATCTCCGGCCACGATCTTCCACCTCCACGAGCCGCCGCCTTTCCAGATCAAGTATCCGGTAGCTCTCACTCGATTTTTTCCTCTATCCGCCTCTCCTTTTCTCCCTCTGTTAGTTTTTTTCTTCTTGGTATAATTGAATACAATGGTTCTTCTAATTTCTGTTGTTGTAACTTGAATGTTTATCTCTATTGTTGTTGTTGAATGCTGATAACTTATTGTAGTTGAATGTTTTAAATGCTTAATTTTAATTTTAGGGTAAAATTTTGAGATTGAAGGATTAAACTCTTTGCTTTTGATTTCATCACAAGTCCGTGATTAACTAGGGTGTTTTTTTTTGTTTTTGTTTTTGTTTTTGTTATGACTTTATTTGAAATCATGACCACAGTAGGGCATTGTTAGAATTGAATCAATTGATATGTTATTGTGTAAATGGTTGTATTCTTATGTGGTGTTGTTGGAGTTTTTAGACCATGATTTTTTCTAACTAGGACCTGTGATGAAATCATATAATAACAACAACAACCATTCATTATGTATTCATTTTAATTGTTTTTGGGACTGTGTCACTGTATCGTTAATTATTTGTTTTTCCTTTAGATCTATTCTCTTAATTTGTTTTGCTTACGTTAACGAATTGGTTGACTTATAAATTGTATTACTTGAAGAGTAGAAAAGTAAAGATGAAAAGTAGGAAAATTGATTATATTTTCATGAGGAAAGCTTGTAAGAAAGAAGGAAATAAAGTTTTTTGTATATGACATGATTATCATATTTGGTTTTCGAATTATAGTTTTTTTTACTGCCCACCCGGACTTTTTAGTGATGCTCTACCACTGCTTGCAGTTGGTTTAAAAGAGCAACGAAAAAACAGTGTGCTGCTATGGACCCATCTATAGTCAAGCTTCTTGAAGATGATGAGGTTTTCTTCTCTCTATTGTATACTTTCCAAAAAACATCTGCTGATCTTTAATTGGGGCTTCACTTGTACCATCATTGTGTTTTGATGTCCACAGGATGAAACTATGCATTCAGGAGCAGATGTGGAAGCATTCCAAGCTGCATTGAATAGAGACATAGGCGGAGATGCTTCTAATTCTCAGCTTTCTGATTCAGATGCAGGTATCCATTAATTTACATTATATCTAAGCTCTGGATATCGTGTTTGTAAATTGGTCATAAATTCCTATGAATTAGTGAATTTCACTCCCTTTGCCTTTTTGCATTAAGATTGGTAGAAATACACGGTATGGCATTTTAAAGGAAAAACAAGAAAATAGGCAGACAAAACAGAAACTAGTATATCATCAATTTCAAAATAATGCATGATTCAAATTAGCAAACAACATAGTGGGATCAAGAAAACGAGAGCAAAAGAGGATTGAAAACATCAATAAGAAGGGTGAAGAGACGGCATGATGTATTGTGCTAGGGTTGTTTCTTTGGTATTTTGTTCTGGGTTATCGTAAGGTTGGATTTTTGCAGATCATGTCTCATATAAAGAAAAAAAATTGAAAAGCAAATCCTGCCTCAGAGTTCTTTTTGAAAATGGGTTGCGCATGACTTGATCTGTTTTTGAGGTTGCTCCCATGGAGGAATTTGTATAGTGGGATTCATCCGAGAACCTTGTTTCTTGGAAATTAAGAGTTAAAGAAGTGGCAAGGTGATTTGCACCGTGGAGTAACATAGGGGTTTTGCGTGTTTAACTCCCTCCCAATAACATATCGAATAAACTCACATTTGCCTTTAAAAAAATAGTGAATTGGGATTCATGCTGCAATTCAAATCCAAAAGAGATTCACAGTTTGATCTGTATCAAATCTGTATTGGTCATGATGATTGCATGAAATGTAAGATATTGACAAATTCAAAACGCAAATATATTGTAAAAATGGGTTTCATATATCTGTCCCTCCAACTTAAAATACTCTCATTTCTAAATAAATCACCACTATTGCTTCTATCTTAAAAAAAACCTGAATGGTTGGTTGGTTTCTTGACCTTTTGTTGACTATGAACTCTCTTGCTCAGATTCTTGTATTATTATTTTCTAAAATATTATATTTATATTTGCTAATTGAAGCATAAAGGGGCCTCTGATTTTTCATCTGTTGTTGCTTAGTTAATTTTCTTTCTAACACCCCCTTTAAGTCTCAGTACTATTGTTTATCAGATTTTTCTTCTAATTCTTGCTTACTATTTATAAAGAAGAATTTATAATTTTCTATCTGATTATTCATTATTTAAGATACCAGTATTAATATATAATCAGAATATCTGGATTATATATTAACCATTGATTCATGTTATTTTTCTATTTACTTGGTAAATTCTTAATCACATACCCACATAACGCTGTGACAATTGCTTCATTTTATTTTTCTTCTGAAGGAAGCAATAATTCATTCAGTCAATCATTACCAACGTGGCCAACTTCTAGCCATGACAACCAGACTGACTGTCAAAATCAGGAGCCTAAAATCCCTCAAGAGCAACCTTCATCTGAAATGGAGCTGAAGCAACAAGGACCTGTAGTGGAACAGATGCAAAATGTTACCTCACAAGATGCAAGTAATCCTAGTTTATCACACAAACAATCTCAAGATGAATGTCTCCAACGCCAAACTATACCGGTTTCCCACCAGCATGCTCAAACAAACGAAGTTCAGAAATCTGAAAAAGATCCCGTATTTAACCATGAGGTAATCAAAACAAATAATCCCAACTGTGAATCTCAGTATGCAAAATTGCAGCAGATGAGTAATCAACAGGCCACAGTAAATGAACAACCTAGTAGCCAAATCAATCGTAGTAAGCAGGTGCCATTTGGCTTATTACTCCCTATCTTGATTCCCCAACTTGCCAAAGATAGAGCCATGCAACTTCAAACATTATTTAACAAATTGAAGGTGGGTTTCTCAAACCAGTTTCACTATCATGTCCTTTTCCCCTCCCTTCTGTGCTAAACTATTAAAGTTTGTTGTGCAAGGCTTTTTTCACATTACTAAGTTTTATGTTTTGACAATTTTGTTTTCATTTGTTCTAGAGAGATGAAATACCCAAAGATCATTTTGTACGACTTATGAAAGGGATTGTGGGGGATCAGATGCTTAGAATAGCATTGACGAAAGTGCAACAACAAGTAGGTAGAGTAGATTGTTTGTGCAGTCTTACAGATGTTTTTTCTTAAGGCGGTTGAATATTGATTTCAACGTTATGCTAAGAACCATCCTTTTTTCTTCTAGACAAAAGCCAACGCAGGTTCTTCTGGACAGCAGCACCCTGTAAGGATGCCAACGGTTACTTCCAGTGGAACAAAATTTAATGATCCCCATGCATTAGCACAACTGCATCAGAGAAGTATGAATGCTACTGCAGACCATTCTCATAATACTTCTTCAGCTATCCAAGTGAAAAGTGAACCCACCTATTCAACTATGGACATTAGTGCTAAAAAATCTCAGGAACATGATGTTCGAGTGGTGCAACCAAATCAATTACCATCATCAGGTTCTAATGCCGTCAGTCAAGAAACTGAAAGATCCTCAGTTCACATACAAGGCCTTAATAAGCAGCAACAGCAGCATATACATTTCCCATCGACATATGGAAGCAGTGGTGGTAACTATAACCATTTTTCCGGGGCAACTACTGGTTCATCATCTCTCAGACCACAACCTCATCCTCATGATTCACACACAAGGCAAATTCCACATCAGAATATTGGTTTAAATCACTTAGGTGTAGAACGACAAAGTTCTTTCACTGATCCCAAGAGAATGCCAGGTGGATCTGTGTCGACTGGTGTAAACAACACAGCACCACAACAAACTTCAACTTCTTGGCAACCTTCAGCAGAACAAAATTCTGGCTTGTTTTCATCTGTTTCATATGTAAAAAAGGAACCTAACGACCTTTCTATTGAGCAGCAACATAGGCATCATTTATCTAAATTGCATGGGTTGCCTTCTGTTAATTCTGGTCAAACTGAACAGGGTAGTGGTGTCAATCAAGGCACTGTAAAGGATGAGTTTTCAAGAGGTTCTTTAGCACTCACTAGCTTACCACATACAACATCTGCTAGCTTGCTCGCATCAAGCTCTGTATCTCAACTAGATCCAACTGGCTCTGTAAGTTACAAATTAATGTGCATGTCTTTGTCTAAAAGTTGCAATGCCTATGGTTTTAGGGATCAAATAGTATCCAAAAGTTATTTTTTGTTTTCTTCAAATTTCTATAACCTTCCAATACTCAGTGGTTTTTATTCGGGAAATAGTATTAATCTGCTTGAATTGCTTGAAATATTTATAATTTTGATCTTCCTATTGTTGAAATTCTGTGAAGTATTACAACTTCTTTTTGAGAGATCGAGAATCTTTGCTATACTCACTTTCTCCTTTTCTTGGTTATTTTCATTTTTGTTCTTTATTTATAGAGGATTTCTCTCTATATTGCTTCCAGTCTCTATCTTTCTTAAACAAGACTGTTTTTTTTACCAATAATCAAGAGTGAATTTATGGTACTATCTTACCAGATCAAAATAATTAAGATTGTTAGGATTTGTAGCTTCTATCTTCATTCACTTTTTTCATGTGGGTTGTAACAATAGTTCACGGTTTGAATTGGGGGCTTGTGTTTAGGTGTTATTTCACTCTGTTTTTATTATCCAAAATCTTCCTTGTTTTTGGAATTCTCTCTAGCGCTCGTCTACGCCGAATTTCCTTACTAAGGTAGCACTGTGATTTTGACTTTCTACAACCAATCTATTGCTTGAAAAATTCTTCTTGCCTTGAGTACTATAAAATATAAATCTTCAATCCACCCTCTTTCTCCATAGTACTTTGACAGTCTTATAGGATAGGACTCAACTAACTTTCTGTTAGTTGCTAACTGTTTTGTAACTGTCAAAACTGTTCGAACTAGCATGTAACTGTCAAAACTGTACGAACTAGCATGTAACTGAAAGTTAGTTGAGTCTTGTCCATTAATTGAAAGTAACATGCCTATAGTTTGTGCTAGGTTTCCATTTTTAGAGCATTTTACTGTTGCGAAATATGAACTCAGTTTTTCTTTTTTATTAGTTTTTCTGGAATACCAAGCCATCATTCTGTTTACAAGGGCATGTTTCGTCCATGTTTTTTAATGATATCTTAATACTTGCTGATACCTGATTTCTTTTCCTCTTTTGGTTGCAGCTTAGCTCTCAGATCCCAGCTAGCACTTCTGGTATGGTGTCAAAGACACCTCTTAAAAGACCTCTTGGCCAGAAGAAACCACTTGAAACACTTGGTTCTTCACCTCCTCCTCCAAGGTGAGTTGCACTATTCCGCTGGTTCATGATTTTTTTTCTGGGTTAGTTATTGCATTCTCTTACTAATTTTATTATATGCATACCTGCTTGTTATCTTACAGTAAGAAACAAAAGGTGTCTGGGTCATCTCTGGAACAAAGCATTGAACAGCTTAATGATGTTACAGCTGTTAGTGGTGTTGATCTTAGGGTATGATGCTTTGTCATATTGAAGAAAACCATAGTCAGGAATGTATACTGTTATGTTTTAACAATTTCAAGCTATTTTTATGTTCTCTTTATATAGGAGGAGGAAGAACAGTTATTTTCTGGGTCCAAAGAGGACAGTCGAGTTTCAGAAGCATCTCGAAGAGTTGTGCAAGAAGAAGAAGAAAGTCTGATTTTGCTGAAAGCTCCATTGCAGAGAAAATTGATTGAAATTAGTCAGTCCTATTTATGCCATTTCTGTCCATCTGATTTTCGTTTCTTTTTTCAAACTTATCTACATATGTACTTAGGCCTATATAAGCCTTATAGCTGTTATATTCTGTCTCCTTGGCAGTGACTGAGTGTGGCTTGAAAGGCATAGGTAATGATGTGGAAAAATGTCTGTCACTGGTGAGTTTAAATCTATTTTTCATTATTTATTACAAGTAGGATTCCATGTAATCTTAAGGATGAAAATAAATGTTCAGTGTGTGGAAGAGCGAATGCGCGGAGTAATAAGTAACATAATCAGAATGTCAAAACAGGTCAGTTATTTTCTATAACTGCTTGCATGAGTAGCCATTTTGTCAATCTGCAAGTTTTCTTAACTCCGATAACTTTCCTACCAGAGGGTTGATATTGAGAAAACAAGGCATCGAACTGTTGTCACTTCAGATGTTCGACAGCAAATCATGGCAATGAATAGGAAAGCAAGGGAAGAGTGGGAGAAAAAACAGGCCGAAGTAGACAAGCTCCGGAAACTAAATGATGTGAGTTCCACTTTGTCACTGGAATTTTGTTTATTTGATGACATAATATAACTTTTGTCCCTGCACGTTTCTTGTGCATGCATACATTTTATATTTTTGTATCTTAGACTCAAACCTATGCTTATTATTTAAAACATTTTGATCTATTTTTAAAGTATAGGTAGATGGTGGTTCCGGAGTTGATGGTGACAAGGATGACGGTCGCAATAAAGCAACAAAGGTACTGCTATCAATTTAGATGATGTAATTCACCATTATCTATGTGAGAAGTCTTATTTTTTATTGGTAATATGTTGCAGGTGAACAAGGAAGTTGATGACAAAATGAGGACAAATGCTGCAAATGTTGCAGCTCGAGCTGCTGTTGGAGGAGATGACATGCTGTCAAAGTGGCAACTTATGGCTGAGCAAGCCAGGCAGAAACGTGAAGGGGGAACAGACACTGCATCTGGTTCTCAGCCAACCAAAGATGTCAGCCGCAAATCTTCACCATCATCAGGAAGGAGCACAAAAGACAATCAAGAAAGGGAGAGAAAAGGTCCAAATTCTCTTGGGAATTCAGGTGGGTTTCTTCTTTGCTGTTTCCTACCACTTTCGAATGTTGATAATAAATTCAATTGAGTTTCTATCTTTGCCGATGTGCGTTTGCACTGGTCACATTGGTTTTTATGCATATCTTAAAACAACTGATATATAATTATTTGTTCAAAATATACCTTAATTATATTTCCTAATATTCAAATTCAGTGGGTGGAATGAAAATTCTGCAAAATCCACACTTTCCTAGCAGAAAAAAGCAGTAGAGCAAACCAAAATCTGAATGAGAATAGGAGAGGATTAATGTACTGCCATCATCCAAAATCAACCAGTATATATGTACTGAACTAACTTTTAAGTTATTACTGCAATACCAATGTCAATGCAGGAAAATAAACCAAAGACACCAATTCTCAAACTGTAGAAAAGTTGAATTGAACAATATTTGTTCTGTTATCAATGCATACATTACATGGCTGCCTCAGAAATTTTTGTAGACGGTACAATCTAGTCTACCAATCAATTGTTGTGCGCCACTGTTCTGTTGAAATAATCTTACATCATTAAAAAAAATTATGTTCAAATGCTTTTTAGTGAAGACAAAATTAAGGCTAAAATGCCCAAACCCAACATCAAGGCACAAATGGGAATAGATAAGAACCCACGTGTTATTCTAAGTAGCAGTTTCACTGCTCTCAGTCCATACTCTACTATCATATATTATTACCATACTCCTACTAATCCCTAATATTGCACATAAATCAGGATCTAGTAACTGAAATTGCCTATTTATGTTGTGGTCATATATTAATCTCTTTGTTGGATGATAAACCAATAGCTGAGAAGTGTACGCAATATTTGAATATTAATGCTTGTTAAGATTTAAATGGTTATTGGTTCATATCTTGTTCCAAGATACACGGGCTCCTGATTCTAGAAAAAATATATACCTGGGATGGTTGTTGATAAACAAAATCTTCAAATATTGAAAGAAAATTTTGAAAACAGACTTTTGAGTGTGACTTGTTTAATAAGAACACAAATATGGAACCAAAAAACATAGGTAGGTGAGGCTAAAATATGTGGTTCACAAATTTAAAATGGCCGAACCAATTGATAGAGAAATTTCAGCAAACTGTTTCGTATTCACAGTAATCAAGAGATGAAACGTACAATGTGCATTAAATATAAGGAGTTGTAGAGTGAAATGGATATTATACTCAAATAAACTGAAAAAGTAGGTGCAGGTGAAATAAAAATGGTTATATCATGCTAAATTAAAATGCAGAAGCAAAATGAAACACAATTTAAAGGAGCTCACCAAATAAATGAAGATAGTAGATAACACCTGAGTAAGGTGAAGAGAATCTGGGCTGAAAAAGAAGAGAACCCCCAAGTAAGCTCACTTTTAAACCTGCAACAAACGAACTGAGCAATGGCAAGTAGCTCTAGTGATGCACTAAAAGTGTAAGTTGAGAGAAGAAACAATGATATGAGAAGATAGGAGGAAAGATTGTTTTGGAGCTCACTGGTTTTCTGCAGCAAGAATGGAAAATAGGAGGAAAGAAGAAAAGAAAAAACAACACTGGTTAGACACTAATAAAATTCAAAGATTGGACAAATATCAAAAGCAACACTAATAAAATTCAAAGATTGGACAAATATCAAAAGCAGAGATCCAATTGGAAGTCACGAGCTGTTAATGTAAAAGAAGAAAATACAACGAAGGAAGAAATGAAAAATCTGACTTCACGCATGTGCCAGCCGGGGGTTTGTGTGTATGTGTGTATACTATAATTTTCAATTGCAAAATAGATTCTTGAAGCAAAAAAGTTGAGGAAGAAAATTGGAGGACAAATGATGATCAATGACTTGAATGAAAAGAAATAGGCTTTTGTTAATATTTGTTTTTTTTTGGGCGAAAGTGGTAAATATCTTTCTCTTTTAAACTTTTTTTGTTAAATGACAGTGTATGGCAGTATTGTTTGTTTTTCCCCATGTTCCCTGTGATCAAATTGTACGTGAAGTTTTGAAAAATCGATTCTGCACTACCTAAACATGCATAAAAAAGTATTGTGGAATTCAAACTTCACCAGTAAAGCTTTATCTATGCCCATGGTCTCTAGATACAATACAAAATGTGCATCTCCATCCTTTTTTGTTGATATTATTTATCCTTATGTGATCTTGTTGCCAACAGCGTCTGGTAGGAAATTTGGGAAAAATCATTCCCCTGGATCTCAAACTCGCATAGCTCGTAGCATCTCTGTGAAGGATGTGATTGCAGTCTTGGAGAGGGAACCTCAAATGTCCAAATCATCACTCTTATATCGATTGCACGAGAGAACTCATTCTGATACTTCAACCGAATAAGGTAAAATGAAATATCAAGGTCATTTTTTCCTTTTTATATTACCACTGAGCTTACTCTCATCTTATGCTTATCAGTTGATCAGTGACATCAATTGGTCCCATTTTCAAATCAGCTTCAAGCAACTAGCCATTTTTCATGTCTACCCTCTGTATTCTCTTGTATCCAGTTCACTATAGGGTAAGTAGGAAATAGTGAAATTAAACTGAAACTCATCAATGGAAAAGTTGTGGTTTTTAGCTATGAGCTGATGTCTACTGACACTTTCATGTTTGGTTCCATTTGACTTTAACTGTCAAAATGATAAGTCATATTTCTTGCTGTATGAAATTAAGTACTAGCATTTCGCGTTTCACTTTTCAAATGTTTTAGCAGAAGGTGCATTCGATTCACATGCACTTTAATTGTACAGCTCAAATTTCTGTATATAACAGGATGGTGATGTGCATTAAGAGGAGTGTAAAAAGATTTGACTCATTCGGTGAAAGGTTGTTTCTTTCATATCATACACAGAAATTCAGTAATTCAGTTTTGGCCTACTACTGTGATTGGATGGTGAAGAGTATGTGTATCTAACATTATTTCAAGATAAAACCTTGCTAACATGCACATCTCTAGGTTTATTAGCATATTTATGATAAGAAAATTTTAGCTTGTTTGTTGAATGAACTGAGATGTCTGGTTTGTTTTGCGTGAAAGTAAATATATTGTCCATGGTTGCTGATATTTTTCAAATTGTCTGGCAACTCAGTTTTGTGATCATGATTATTGATTTAGACTGATCTGGTTTCTGTTGGCTGCTCTATATGATTAGGAAGCAATAATGGTCCAATAATTGCACTATTATTATTACTTACTTTCTTGTGTATTCTTGTAGTATCGCAGAACTGTATTCAAACTCAAATGTGAAATTGTTACCATGGGTATTTATATACGATATTTTTTAAATAAATTATTCAATTACATTTCATAAAGTAAGTATTTATTATGAAATTAGGTTACTTTTGTAATGTTTTAAGAAATATCTTTTATTTTACAAAAATAACTTAATTTCGTTTACCTAAAATCCACATACCCCTCCTTGTTTGAAATACCTGAAAAAAAGGAAGTTCAAATTAATTCTCAATTTTTTAAAAACATTTAAAAGGTTCAGTTTGAAAATTTAATTAAAACTTTTTTTAAAGAATGAATATTTGGGTTAAATATTCTAATCGAAAGATTGTGAAAAGAAATACAGTTTGGATAATCAAACTGGAAGTTTTAAGCTGTCATACATTTAATTCTTATTTCTCATTGGAAGTCTTATATAAGAGAAAAAAGAATATACAATTTGGTGTAAAATAATTCTGTATTGTTAATGTATCATTATTCTTCCAATGTTTTGATTTTAAAATTATTTTGATAACATAACAAATTGTTAATTTTTTTATTGAATGACAATGAGGAATTATTTTACACTCATCAATTAAACTATTTATATAATTTGAAGATCCTGTTAAACTTTATATAATTGAATGATTTCGTTTAAATATTCAAAGCGAATCTTCACATTAAAATAAAAGTTTTATATATTATTATACATTATGCAGGAATAGGAACACGTTGTTACATGAGAATTTGACTGAAGTATTTATGATAAATCATAAATTTGATATAGGAGAATTTTATTTTTTGCTATGAACTAAAAAACTGATTATAGAAAACTAGTACAATTGTTATTATTACCAAATTCGATGTAAAGATGAGAAAAAGAAGAAAGATTAAAATAGAACATAGTCTATGCAAGGAGAAGGAAGATTAAAATAGAGCTAGCCTATGAAAAGAATAAAACATACATTTCCACTTTTATATAATTTTATATGTCTTATATTTATATCACATTTTTGAAAATCTGAATTTGTCTTTCATGTATTTGGAGATGAACTTTTGGATGCATCTATATCATGTTTTTTTTCTTCTTCTGAGTTTCACTTCAATTTTAGAAAATTATGACCCGGAGATGCATATCCGTATACTATTTTGGCGTATTCAAAAATGCATATCTAAATAACCCCTGAATCATTTCAGAACATCATTATTGTCCAAACTCATAAATTTTTGAGGCCAACTTATATTAAAGTAAAATCGAACTAAAATGAGGTTATATTAAAGTTAAATATAAGCAAAAAGTCATACATTAATCCAAAAAATATGTATATCTATATATTTGAAAATACTAAAAAGTAATACATCCAAACATAACCTGACTACTGAGTATGTCTAATTCCTTGCCTCCTCCCCCGTTTGTATTGCACGATATTCCATAACTCAACAACCATGCACTCAACGAGGGTCAACTAGGGATTTCTATCCTCAAAGAGTCATGTCTCTATGGCTCCTTTACTCATCTCCGCAACATGCCAAAAGATCGTTGTCACTCTTTTGGCCAGCTCATTATGAACCTCGAGTACCTCCTAGTTAGCTGGTCTAGGTTGTCTTTCAAGAGCGTCTGGTGTCATGATAGGGTGTGACACCATATAAAACCATGTCATGTAGCCCTTCAACATAAACCAAGTGTACATGAGCTGCCTCCCGACTATACTTCTTTGATATCAGACGACTTTCGAAATCATCCAGTATCGTCTGTAGATCTCTACGCAGATGCTGGGAAGAACGGACTCATAGAGGTCTTAAAATAATCTGCAAGTAGGAAAACTAGCGGATCACTCACTCGGGTAAATAGAAATACGTAAGAGATGACACACATGTCAACCATCTATAGTATAAGGAAATGACGTCAAACTGACGTGTCTAGCAGTGATCCTCGTATGGTCAGAAGTAGGGCTGGAAATGAGCCGATTCGAGTTGAACTCACCTCAGCTCGGCTCGACTCGTTAAGAATTGGTTCGAGTTCGAGTTCAACACGAACTTTTTTTTAAGCTCAAACTCGACTCGTTATAAGTTCACGAACAGTTCAGTTCAACTCGTTAGGTTCATCTCATTAGGTTCAGCTATATATATATATATATATATATATATATATATATATATATATATATATATATATATATATATATATATATATATATATATATATATATATATATATATATATATATATATATATATATATATATATATATTTGAGTATATTTGACATTTTAAATAAATATATATTTTTTAAAATAAAATATTAAAATAAAATAAAAGTTATCATATTGAAATTTAACTTTATCTTCGAAATCTACTAATTCAAAACCTACACAACTTTCAAGAAATACATTTGAGAGTCTAATTCAAAAACTACTAAATCGAAGATTAAATTTTTCTAAGATTTGGAGTAAATATTTAAACCTAATCTTAAAGACAGTATAATTCTTCTCATATGTAATCGAGTTGACTCATAAACCTAACGAGTCGAACTATGTATAGTTCAAGTTCAACTCATTTAGTTAACGAACTTAATTTTTCGCTCATACTCAACTCATTAGGTTCATGAACCTAGTTCAACGATTTAATTGTCGAATCGAATTCCGAACTATTTTCGAGTTGGTTCGGTTCATTGCCAGCCCTAGTCAGAAGTAAACATCATCTGGTACGATACAGTCAAGAGAGACATTGAATGGCTTGGTCGTACCATTTCCCATGTACGGAACAAAAACGGCTGCACATGGTCAGTCCTCATCGTAGGCAGGCGCAACTTTCCACTTGCTGATGCAAGGGAAATGTGAGATGACCAATATCTGCAAATAGTTCAGATGCAATGTTAATAATAATCCTAGCAAATGAATTATGAAAATATTAGTAACAAGAAATTACCGTAAGAAACGTGCAACTCTCTGTCATCTACTTTGTTTTCAAACGACAAATCTCACTCATTTTTGAGTACAGATAGATGAAACATATGACCCCTTAGTTGTATTCATGAATTATAGTCAGGTTGATGAAGTACTTAAGATAGACCACATCGACATAGGCTGCACTTTCGGCAACAAACATGGTTGTGAAGTGGATGCACTATCAAATGAGTTGTCAGCAACTCGTAGTCTCGTGGTCCCACTGCGGCTCTCTCACATAGTACAGACGCAATTTGAGACACACGTCCGAGCCTAATCCAACCAATGTTGTTTTCAGCCATTGCATCAGCGTTAGAAACAACGACAGATATAAACAACATGTACGGAGATATTCACAAATTCCATAAAATCACTTTTTTTTGCCCGAGTCCAATTCAATGATGAATTTCCAAAAATAATGCAGAGCAAATTCAGAGATACATCTCCAGACACACCTGCGATTGTCTCAGCCATGACAAATGCGTCATTTTTGCCCTAACAGTCCAAAAAACCTCAATGCATGTTCTTCTAGTCTATCAATTTCGTTTACACTAGTACCTAATGTACATAAAATAACTAATGTAAGATGAACAACTAACTACAAATCAAAACATAAAAAGAAAAAAATTTGAAAAACTTACCACATGAAATTGATTGATGAGAAGGAACATTATGAGTGGCTGGAAAGAAGGAGAAAGAGCTCCAATGATATAAGCTTGAATGAATGGATGAGAAGTAAAATCGTTGTAGAAATCAAATGATTTTTTAGAATATTTTAGAAAATGAAGAAGGAGAAAGAGGAAAGAGTATGTCACAGGATATGAAAGAAAAACGTCTGAAAATGCATCTCCGGACTACCCACAACAGTTTGAATAAATGGTGTTTACGAAAATGTATCTTCGGACACACTTTTTACACATACAAAGATGCATCTCCGAATTAAATTTTGACATAATAGAGGCATCTTCTAGATTTGGAGTGAGAAATGACTAAAAATAGGTTTGTCCGGACATGCATATCCATACGCTAGGGACATTATGGTCTTTTCATGGTGGTGTGGGATAACACTTAAGGATGAAAAGAACAATTTTCTTAAATTTAGAACAAAGTAACACACAAATGAATGACCAACTAATGTATGATCTAACTCGTGATTTTGAATTTCTCATGTTACTTTAACTGACAAT